TGTAAGTACTTTTTTGTTATATTTATTTAATTTTATAGATCTAAATACTTTTTGATTCAAAAAATGTTTAGGAACTTAATCGTTCAAAATATGAATATTCATTGAGTTTTTTTTCGAACTTTTTTCACTATTTTATCACATTAACTATTTGTACAAGTCATAAGAATATATCCAACAGGTTTTAGAAAAGTTCAAGGAGTTATTTAACATGTTTTGGATTGTCGAATGATTTATTTGTTCCAAAAAATTGTCCGATGAGTTATTTAACATGTTTTAAATTGTCCAAGGACTTATTTGTTCCAAAAAATTGTCCAAGAAGTTATTTAACATGTTTTGGAATGTCCAAGTACTTATTTGTTCCAAAAAATTGTCCAAAAACTTAATTATTCTAAACATTAAAGTCCATTGGTTTTTTTTTATAATTTTTTTCTAAAATTTAACTTAAAATGCTTTCAAATAGTAGGGTGATGGTGGGAAGCGTGAGTAAAAGTAGTTGCATAGATTTTGTTGGTAGTTGAGTAGACGTAGTCATGGAAAGCTGTCAATCTGGATGTGGTTTGCATCCGTCTCTCTCGTATACCCACATGAGACATGTTGACAAATCTTCTGAATTCAACCATCCTCAAATCCAATATTTTACACTTTTCCTAATGCAGATAAAGTTCACTTCATGATTTGTTCCCTTATAAAAATATATACTTAATTTTGGATCTTTTTGTTTGATTGAGATTCAGCTTTCGATTCCATCAAGTAAGCTTATTCAACTTCCCTTTTGTTCTTCTGTAAATTCAGTTCACCTTGAATGATCTACTTGTTGGGTTCTAATTCCAACTTAATTTGGATATTGGTTTCTTGTCTTTTAAGTCTGTATCACTCGCTATATGATGGATTGAATGTAAAGTATTATATTCTTTGGATTATGATCACCCGAATAAAAAGATTTCATAAATTTTCACCCTAGTTTTCACGTTTTCTGGTTTGCTCTAATTTGTGCATTTATTTATCCCTGTTTTAGCCTGTCGTAGTTTTGCACTTTAGGTGTTTGATGATTGTACTCAACAAGCAAGTGGAAGTAGAGTCATCTATTTAGTATCTCTTCATGGTTATTAATATATACAATAATCTACAAACAATTTGATGATGATTCATTTATTTATTTCAGGGTGTTCTTCTGTCATATGGATCATTAATGAAGTGCTTGAGGTACTTACTTATAAGAGAGTTTGGTGTTCAATAATTTGTGGAATCTAGCTGTATTCTTCAGACCATGGCTATGGCTCCTACTGTCAAAGTGGTTCTAGGCTCTTTTGCCTTTGCTGTATTCTGGGTCTTGGCTGTTTTTCCTGCTGTCCCCTTTATGCCAATTGGAAGAACAGCAGGGTCTCTTCTTGGTGCCATGCTCATGGTTCTTTTTCAAGTTATAACCCCAGATCAAGCTTATGACTCTATTGATCTTCCAATCCTTGGTCTTCTTTTTGGAACAATGGTTGTAAGTGTTTATCTTGAAAGAGCCGATATGTTTAAGTATTTGGGTAAGTTGCTTGCGTGGAAAAGCCAGGGATCGAAGGACTTACTCTGTCGAATCTGCTTGATATCAGCGATTTCAAGTGCTTTTTTCACTAACGATACGTCTTGTGTTGTTTTGACGGAGTTTGTACTTAAGATTGCAAGGCAACAGAACCTCCCACCCCATCCATTTTTGCTAGCACTTGCTTCAAGTGCAAATATTGGATCTGCCGCCACACCAATAGGTAACCCTCAAAATCTAGTGATAGCAGTTCAAAGTAAGATCCCATTTGGGGAATTCTTGTTTGGGATTGTGTCTGCAATGGTGGTGGGCATTTGTGTAAATGCTGTCATTCTTTTATGCATGTTTTGGAAGGTGTTATCTGTTCAGAAAGATGAAGAAGAACCTCCAGTTGATGTAACCCCCAAAGAAAATGTGAACTTCCACAGGTTTTCACCAGCCACAATGTCACATCAGAATTCTCATGAACTCGATGCTATTATGGAGGCCACGAGTGTTCACAGCTCACCGGGTGTTAATGGGAACATAGATAACACTCTTAGGAACCGTGCTATTTCTGGCGAGGATGAAGATTCAAATGGTTTAAAAGATGCCACAGATAACGGATCATTGCAGAAGAGGGATGAAAGGGTTATTTCAAGGGTTTCATCAATGAACAGGCTCTCGAATGCAATTTCTGATTTGGGTTTGGAGGAAATTGAGGAAAAGTCAGCTAAATGGAAGATAGTACTATGGAAAACAGGAGTGTATCTTATTACAATTGGAATGTTGGTTTCATTTCTAGTGGGATTAAACATGTCATGGACCGCCATTACAGCTGCATTGGCTCTCGTGGTTCTTGATTTCAAGGATGCTCGACCATGCTTGGAGAAGGTATACTCGGTGTAACCATGAACTGTAAGACCAACCTTGGCAATCATAGCTTAGTTTTGAGCTTATTGAAAAAGTTTCGTTCGGTTAGCCATAAGCTAGCTTTCTTAAAAACTACTAAGTAGAGTTTCAACAAGCTCTAGGGGCTTCTTTCACTTTTTTTTTTCAATTATGCCAATTCTATTTCTCCAATTAATTTTTCAACATGTTCTTTTAGGGTATTTTTATTTGTCATCTAGCTTATCAGATAGTTTTTATCAAACATAACTAGTTTATTAGCTTTCATACAATCAAAACTGAAACACCATTTGTTACATCACCCAGGTTTCTTATTCGCTGTTGGTATTCTTTTGTGGAATGTTTGTGACCGTCGAAGGCTTTAATAGAACAGGAATCCCAAGTGCGGTATGGGATTTCATGGAACCTCTTGCCCAAATTGACCACGTTAGTGGTGTAGCGATTCTTGCAATTGTCATAGTTCTTCTCTCAAATCTGGCTTCAAATGTTCCAACCGGTAGGTGCTGTTTGCTTTTTATGAGGTGCTACGAATTCTAAAATTTTATCTCACTTCTTAATTATGAGAAGTGGCTTTGAACTCTGAAATCATTAAAAAAAAATATTTTTATAAACCGATAAATGTCAAAATGTGAAATTCAATAGCGACATAATATTACATAACCTCAATTTCGCTATAAATTATATAGTGACATAATTTAAATTTTCAGTGCTACTGCTTGGAGCAAGGGTGGCAGCAGCCGCGGCTACTATTTCACCGGAAAAGGAGAAGAAAGCATGGCTAATATTGGCGTGGGTTAGCACTGTGGCTGGAAACCTTTCGCTACTAGGATCAGCGGCCAATCTGATTGTTTGTGAACAAGCTCGTCGTGCTCAACATTTCGGATACAATCTTACGTTCTGGGCTCATCTCAAATTTGGTGTTCCCTCCACCATCATAGTTACAGCTATTGGTTTGTTACTTATAAGGGATTAAACGTACAAAATTCAATGTGATTATACCACTTTTTCAAAGTAATCATTTTTTAGGTACTGAAAAATAATCGAACAATGGATAGTAAATGAAATAAAATATCAAATCAAGGGTAGAAACCATAAAATTTGTCAAAGTTGCAAGAAAAGTAGGAGACCGAATTTCATATCCCTCAAAGTTGAGGGATCTCTTTTGCCAAAGTATATATATGAGTTAAACATAGTTAGGATTGTAAACAAACCGAACGAACATGAACATAGACTTGTTCGTGTTAGTTTCTTTAACTTGACCGGACAAACAAATCAACACGAACGGTAAAAGAACGAAATTTTGTGTGTTCATATTTACTCATTAAGAACATGTATATATTCATGTTGGTTCATTAAAATGCTAAACAATATAAACAAATGGACTGAATATGAACAAACATGAACCAACACAAATGAATATAAATGAACGAACATTCATGAATATAAAAAAAATATTATCAATTAATTTTATAAAAAATACGAACAAGTGAATAAAATTCTCTTTTATCAAGTAATTAAATAAAACCAAAATCATATATTTATCGAGAAAAATAAATAAATTTAATATTAAATAAAATAATGAAAAACCCAGCTCAAAAATGTCCAAATTCATGTCTTGATGATTTTGGGAGGTGGGTGGGACCCACTTGTCTATTTTCTTATACTAGTATTTATGAGGGGGACTTTTTCCATAAATTATTGGTTCACATCATTTTTCTAATTTATTTTTATATAATTATAATTTGGAAAGTATAAATTTTGTAATTATACTGAAATAATAACTTATTTAATGACATTTTCATACTTTTTATTTAAATTATAAATATTATAGAATTAAAAATAATATTAATTGATGTTGTCAATGATGGTGGTGTAAATGCTAAACACTACTGACACAACACAGTATTTAATCATTATTTTATCAGTGAATAAACTTAATCACTAAAATTAAAAATTAGTTTCATTTCTTATCTTTTAGATTTAAAATATTTTAAACTATAATAATAGTTTGAATTAAAACAATTAATTTAGAGATAAAAGTAATACATAAAGCATTCTAGTAAGCCTTTTATAGATAATTTAGGGGTGTTTACTCAAATGCTTACCCAATAAATGCTTACTGATACGAATCAACACTATAATTTATTTTGATGTGTGATATTTTAATACATCAAAACGCATCGAATGCAATAATTTACTGGGTAAGTGCTTACCTGGGTAAGAGTCGTTATCTTCATTTACCAGGTAAGACTCTCCATCATTCTCATCGCTCTTACTCGGTAAGATTCTTAACCCTTGTCATACTCATCTGATGAGGAAATTTATCCGATAAGCACTTACCAAGTAAGCATTTAGTGAACGACCCATTAGTAAGTGTTTGGTAGTGTTTATTAATGCACAATATAACGATTCATCTCACATCTATATAGAAAATTAGATTTGTGAGCACCTTATAAGCTTAAACTTGAGTACTAATTATGTCTTTCATTATAATTTGTTGGTTACTGGTCCAACTTTTTGCTTTGTGCTATGAGGCGTTACAGATGGTAGCATAGTTGATATACGTGCTATCTGGACAGTGGTGCAAACCTCATCGAGCATGATGAGTCCTTGAGAGGGGTATTTGTAACATCTTAGTCAAACCCACATTGTTGATGAACAAAGCCAAGGCTTGGAAGTCCAAACGAGAACGTCATAGATTTAAGTGGATAAATTTGTAACAACCCCTCCGACATGGATAGAAAACTAGATTTATAATTTTTTTTATGAATTCAAAGTTGTGGACTACCGATAACTTCTATCATATGTTTAAGTTAATTTGGTAATTATTCTACCACCATATTGCTTTCGGCTATGGGACATTACAAACAATTGTAACATCCCAAATTTTATGAACACTCCAAAAAACTATTTTAACTCGTCCCAAGATCAAATATTAAGTCGCAACGGGAGAAAAAAAAATACATAAAGCCTAAAATCCATCAAAGTCTATCGTTAATACTACGAAACTAGTGAACGAGAAAATGAATGATTAGATGTTCTCAAAATATCATGATCTTCATATGTTCACTTTAGCCGTTTCCTGTCTCCAGTCTTCTCTTTTGTATACTACTGCCAACATGATAACAAGAGGGTTGCATAGTTTTTCTTAAACAGATTTGGGTAAGCTTACGACTTAGTGAATTCATGGTGTTATACAACAACGACATCAATCATTCAAATACCATTTCAGAATATCATGACTGTAACTTTTTATAGATATGCATACTTTAATCACAAACAATCTTTGACTTTATTGACTACGCATACTGGTTGTGATCCACCTACCACGACTCACTTTGTCATGCTCTCGGTAAGTTTTAACTTGGGAAGCGTAGATCTACTCGACTAATTCTCATCTTTCCAGCATAGCACACTTGTCGTGTTCCTATGAATAAAATCCAAGAAGTCGAGCAAGGTACATTTGTGTTTCTCTTGCGATAATTTCCATGCGGGCCATTAGAGTCTCATGAAACCCCATTCCCACTTCCACTGTGT